TAGGTCAGTCTGTGTGAGTCTCTACTTCGTTTCCTTACAAAGGCAGTTGGCACCGCCGAAGTTTGAGCCGCGGGGATTAGGACCCGCGGCTAAGCTGGCTGCGAATGTCTGGCCAAGTCACACTGCTCAGGGTATGCAGCCCTTTCGAGAACAGAGGTCTAGTTTGGGGTGTAGGCAATGAATAAATTGTGAGATTTTAGATTTTCTTTTTAAGTAATGCAATGTCGTATTTAACCAGTTGATTATGATATAGTATAAGGGTACCTGTGGTGAGTGATGAGTAGCAGACAAACCAAAATTTCTCTTTAAGTACCAGTCACAAGTTCAAATCTATAGGTTATAATTATGGTATTAGCGGTGGTTACGCGTTATAGACTCGGAAGATGTTTACATATCGCAATTCCAGACACAGAAGACGCTGCATTGATTTATGAATTACAAACAGTACTTTATTTTGACTCGCTAGTCCGAAGCATGCTAAGAAGAAAGAACTACTAAGCAAAAATTATAAACTAAAGAGGTAAAGGTAAAGAAAAATTAGCTTAAATCCATCAGATGACAATTGCCGAAAAAGATTGACATTTACATGTCAAGATGGTTAACTTAAATAGAAACAAGTAGCTTGAATGCATCAGTCCACATTTCTCCCTGTGCCAGAGTCTTAAACTATTGTCTGTCGAAGATCAAGGATCAAAAAAAACCAAACATCGAAGTTTCGACTCAAGTTGTTATTGTTGACGTATAACCCCACCGCAGCTGTGACATCTCTCTGTAATCGGAAATAAGATGCGGCGAGTGTAGGATTTGAGGGAAGGTGACATGTGCGCTGGCGTACTGCCGCGCGAAGTCGCCGCTTTGATGCCAGCCCTGAGATCTCGAGGCGAAACAATGGAAAAAATATTTGCCAACTGAATAATTAATAGACTGTAGCGAGACGAAATAACGTGTACATATTTCGTCATTGGTGTCAACGACAAAGTGAAGAGGATATTTTAGCAGAGTTTTATTTGTTGCCTAAAGCAACATTTTGGAGTTTTCCCGGTTGTTTATGTTCCGCGGTCAACCCAAATTGGCAAAAGTGAGTGATTACTGGTTGATTATAGATTTCGTCACGGATGACCACCATTTACGTGCGTTTTTCGCTCTCCGGTTCCAGCAGTCGCTGATAAAGGCTTGTTTGGTGTTGGGACGGGATTGACGAATTTAGACAGATAATTTGTGCGTTCTGAGGGAAAGCAACACTACGACCTTAAGCCAGTCAGAACGTGGTATGTAAATTATGGAAAAGGGTGTATTGGGCAGGCATAAGTGAACGAATGTGAAACAGATTGCCATGGCTATACTGAGGGTATGGATGAGGGATCGGAAGATGACATGGAGGGTAGGTTCGAGGGGAGGTGATTGTTTTGGTTGTCAGGGTCGAGGAGATGTTAAAGGTCGCGGTTGGCTGATCGAATGAATGGATGGGATGGGTTCGGGTCACAGATGCTAAGCGAGGAACCGAGTGGGTTTTTGCCGATCACACTGATTGGAGCCTGCTCTTCCGATATGCGTCGTTGTAAAGAGCCCGCAGTGGTTCCTGCTGTATTTGGATAAGAGAGAGAGAAATAAATGAAAGGTTTGAGGGGGAGGGATGTGAAAAATGAGTCAAGGAGGGAGTGAACATATAAGGTGTGCTTAAGTAAGTTTTGAGCGGAAATGAGATGATTTCAGGGTGTGGTCTTTGTTCGCGAACCTACTTATAACACTTCATATATTGCATGCAAGGGCAGCAATGAATTAATGTTTTTTATTGCTGTCTCATGCCAAACACTCCCACATGGGTTTCTTATTGACACAAAGACAACAAGATAACAAATGAATACCATGCACTAGCAATGTAGAGAACTAATGAAAAACTGAAAACCAGTATAAACTGATCTTATATCACTTGTTTATATGTAACAATGTTAATAATATCTCAAAATGGTTATAGTTAACTTGTTGAATTAATTAATTACATTGAAAATTTGAAGTATAACACAAAATTCAATCAATAAGTAAAAAATTCTTGGTTAAGTACGTTTTACTAGGTATGTTATTTTTTTGTTTTTTGAGAGTACAAATAAAAATTACAAAAAAACGTCAGTGAAGTTAAGTGCATTGCAAATTTTACAAAAGCTCTGAATGAAGATTATATACAAGGTAAAACTACTGTTTTTGTCTATGGAGACTTTTGACATGTAAAATAACAAACTGAGTCGTCAGTGGCAAAAACAAGCACTTTTATTGGACAAACTTTGACAGGCACATTTGTCGCCGAGGATTAGCTAACCTCAAAGGCAGCCATAGTAGCCATTTCTCAGCTATTTTCTCAAGTAAGCTGGTGAATGAAAGGTTTATTTTGACCAAACAAGTGTTAGACTAATAAAGATGGTTTTGGTTAGTTTGATTTAGTTTCTGTCCAGTTTGAAGTGTGTTTTACTATTAGCTAGCTAGCTAAAATGACTGGTTTTGCTCTAGTGGCAAGTGAATTTCAAACAGCACATTTGACGGGTTGGGCTACCTATTGCTGGAAGTGGTACTGACTATCTTCACCTCCCCTCACCCCTTCAAGTGGATCCATCTTGGTCCAGGTCAAGCAGGAAATAATCAAATCAAGACAAAAAGAGCAAAAATACAAATCACGAAGACATATCACAGAGATGCATTTGTTACTTAGGCTCAGGTTATTCCTGAACCATCCCTTAGTTATGCTGCTATAGGCTTAGACTGCTGACTTCCCATGATGCACTGAGCTCCTCTCTCCTCCTCTCCCCGTCCACATTAATGTCTCATTAATGTTACTAACTTCACTTATTTCGTAGGTTTCCATGGATGGCAGGTATGCCTACCTAGATTGGGGATCCTTATAATTATTCATAATTATTATTATTATTATTATTATTATTATTATTGTAGTAGTAGTCGTATTTCCATTTTTATTATAGTTGTGTGTTAATAAAGCTCAGTGGAAGTTCAAGCATGAAGACTCATTTATTCACAAATTTCTCACTCCCCTTAATCAGCTAAACTAGTCAGACTTAGCCACAATCTCCTGCAGCTGATCATGTAGCTGCTATCAAACTTTAAATCCGTTCTCCTCTCTGCTGCTTTCAGCTGTCATTTCAGTGCGCAATCGTTGCGACTCCCGTTCACCTCCACTTCATCATATCTAGTGTGGAGGTTGAGCTCATCTGACATCCACTCCTCATCACTACTGCTAGTGTCTAGCCTATACTAAACACAGCTTCACCGACTCCTTCAAATACAATAAAGTCATGATGGGGTCTAGAAGACTTTTGACATTTCTCTTATACTGAACACATGTCAGTTATTTGCTCATTCAAAGCTAAGTCTCTCCTGATTGAACAATTATTGCTGCTGTGTATCTCTGTATGAAACATGTCCTAAGATCATTTCTGTTATGTCTTGGAGCTATATAAATAAAACTGAACTGAACTGAATTTGTTGACAAAAGGAGTGGGATTTAAATGGATTCTAAGCAAGGTGACCTGACTTTTTTCAATGGTGAACAGTCTGTGCATTCAGTTCAAGTCAGTTCACTGACACTAGATCCATTCAACCCCAAAACAGCAAGCAAAGTAAATAGTAGTGAAGTAGTAAAGAAAATAAACATAGCTTTTTTTTGTCTTCAGATGGGTGAGGACTAAGTTTATGGGGTTTGGATTTTGGTCTGCAGGTCAGTAAAAAGGTGGGGCCGGGTAACATCTTATCACAGTGAAACAGTGTCTGTATTGGAATGTTCCGTAACAAATGTGTATTCTGGCTGACCACAGCTGCGGTTCATCATAAAGGAGCAAACTACAAACCTTTTACATCTAAGTTTCAAACCTACAGGGGGTGAGCGTTTCATTTCCCCAAAGATAGATTTTTGACTGTGTATCATCAGACCTAATTTCAGGGTGCGGATGGAATCACAATATGCGAGTCAAGGAGAGCGACAATTTCTGCAAACATCCACTCCATTTTCCCTCCATAGCAAATGTGGTGAGTGCTGTCCTGCAGTTGCATTTTAGGGCATAAAGTGCTCTACAAAAAAAGAATCTCAAGAAAGTAAAAAAGCCTTGTTTCTGGGAAATAAGTCTTTTTCTAAGAAAAATAAACTTGTCAAGCATGTTTTGTGTTAGTTAATAAGACATTACAGCTAATATTGAGCTTAACAACTTCCAACAATGGTTTACATAATATCCCAGCAGAGGAACAAGATTATTTTCCTTATATGAAGAGGAAAAAGACAACTTCTCAGTTTAAGAGAAAGTCGTCTTGCCACATTCACCCTTTCACACACATTCACACAGAAAACTAACGCATTCATACACATTCACACACTGATGCACAGCATCAGGAGCAATTTGGGGTTTAGTATCTTGCTCAAGGATACTTCCACATGTGGCGGGAGGAGCCGGGGATCGAAGCTCGATTAGGGGCGACCCGCTCTGCCTCTGCACCACAGCCGCCCATTTAGTTTTTCATTGTTTTAATAACTAAAACTATAGATAGATAATATAAGAGAATAAGACTATCTTTCTAAGATCTGATTGGTAGCACTAGGAGGAGCCAGAGGAAAATTTCAGCAAATATGAGAAAACTTTACTTCTATAAATGTTACCTACTGCAGCTTTAAGGTACACATTCTTAAATTCAGCTCAATAAAGTGACCAAAGTACATATGTTAAGAAAGTCTATCTTAAATAATTGAGTTTTCATTGTTTGTAATAAGCCCAACTTGCTTAAATTATTGGCATTTCTTCAGGACTAGTTTGAAGAATTCCAGCCAAGCATAATTGTGTCAATACAAGAAAATTTGATTATATTAAAGAATATTTGGCTTGTTTCAAGAAGGGCTGTTTTTGCAGTGTGATATTTAGAGGCAGTATAGTTTGTGTCCCCTTCCTGAGTGTACAGAGACAGGAGCAGGGACACCTGGAGTTCCTGGGAAGTTCCTGGTAAGTGAGACACACTCCACACACAGGCTTGTTGTTATAGCAAACATCCGTACTGTCAGTTGGGAAATCCATCACCCAAAAGACAGACTGCAAAAACACTCCAGCAGTCAAAGTTACACAAGACAAAGACATGAAACATTTACTTTCCACTGTATCTGAACGCAGGCTCATGGGAGAGCCACAGACTTTCCAAAAAGCTGCTTTGAACCCTGCTACTCCGCTCACTCACACTGGATGGGTTCCAGAACCACACAGGCTGTTGTGGATCTGTGGTTGAACCCAAGTCCCGATCCAGAGCTGCACAGAGCCCACAGCTGCTTTAGGTTAGACCGGGCCACACTTACTCTGGACGGGGTTTCATGCAGTGAGGTGAAGTTTGGGTTGAGTGGGGATAAAGACGAGAGCATCGAGAGTGTGTGTGTTTGTTTACCTGCGGGAGGCCAGGCTTTGATGTAGCCAGTGCAATGCACTACAGAGTACTGAGCCTCTCCTTCTTTTGAGGGTCCAAGGCCATTCCTGTCCATCAAACACACACAGGCACATCAGCATGTTAGCTACTCAGACACAGCTGTGGAAGGACTCAAAAACAACACCGGTTAAAACGGAACATTGTTGGCTTCATCTCTCTCTTCAAGTCATGGCTTTTAGGTTAGAAGCACCTTTACATACTGGGTGTTAGTGGGCTAATGCAAATCTGTATCTGTTCATGTCATGAAAATATCTTTGTACATGGCTTATTTCTGCTTCATTTTCTGTGTTAACATAAAAAAGTCTAAACAGAGTGTAAATAAAAAGTGGGGAAACTGTAAATGGTCTGGGTGGAAATCAAAATAGAAATAGAATGGGAGGTTAGTGAGCCAGAACCGCATTGGCCCATACTGCCTGTTTTCTTTTTTTAGATAGGGAGTTTGTGAATATAATTGGATGAGGCCCAGAATAGTCAACAAATATGGGTTTTTAGATATATAATGCCAATATCACAACAAGGAAAAGTCATGCACGTCTAATATACATGGTTATGTTAGCCAGTAACATATTATTTTAGATGGGAATTTGATTAAGTAGTGAAATAGATATATACATTGGTTATGCTGTAGACTTCATAATGTGACTGGTATTTTTGGCCACTGTTATTATTGGTGACACTTAACACCTCCTTTTTACTGAGTTTAAGCTGCTTGCCTCAGGGTACGTCTGGCAAACAAGAAGATCTATAAGGGATAAACTTCATGTACAGACTGCACTAATCGGCACCCTTCTGCGCAGAAGGCATGTTGTACACTGTATGCATGTTGTATTAACAGTTGTGATGTGATGATGAGATCTGCCGCATTCATGTAATGGGATGTTTTTATCTGGTGAGACCAAAGGTGATTGGTGATAAAGTTCTATCCTATTGTATTCTATTTTATTTAAGGTAGAGCAGGGTACAGTATGGCAGAAGCAACGCCACTCAACTGCATTCATTTATACATTGTAACACAACATATATTTAACGCTAGCCAACGGTTTTGGGTTAGATTAGCTGTCAGTCAGGAGAAACGTGTTAACATTTAGAAAAGCTGATGGTAACTGAGGACATTTAGGCGATGTTTACAGCAGGAGGCATCAAAGTAATAGTAAAGGGCTCCAAACCTTCCCTAAGCATTAAAATTTGTTGCAGAGCAGCCACACTTATGAGGCTGCCTGCAGATGTTTCTGATGCCATTTTTTGTTTATCAGCCAAAGGCATCAGTTACATCAGAATACTAGATTATTGGCCTGATGACTCAGCTGACTGTTCTGTCACTAGCCCTGATGAATGTTAAGTGTGTCTGAAGTGTCGAACATGAAAATTGTCATAATAGCTCATGCAGTTTTCATGAAAAAAAAAAAGACTGAGCTCAATCAGTGAGCGTGTAACATGTAGGAGCATCTATTGGCAGAAAAGGGATATAATATTTATAGGTCTTTTTTCAATTGTGTATAATCACATGAGGGTGGGGGAGGGAAGGGAGTTGCAATCTGCAACTACACCACTAGATGCCACTAAATCCCACACACTTGGCCTTTACATAACACACACTATACGATTGCTGATGATCTGCTGACCCAGACTGGAACAATATTTTGAAAACTCACAGGAACCTGTTCCCCAGTATGTTAATGGATGTTGGGGAAGGATGGAACAGGAGGAGAGATAGAAAGAGGGTGAGGCAGAAGGAATGATCTAAATGATAACCATGCTTAGAGAAGAAGTTCCTGTACCTGTATCTCTTCCTCATGTTGGACAGACGGTTTAGGGAGATGTGATCCAGAGGAGCACTACCGCACCTGCATAAAAACACAAAATAAAGACAACAGCAGACATTACACTCCACATGGTGGTATACAATGCCAACAGCTGGCTGCACATTCCAGCACATACAAACAATATCCACCATGTACGGACACAGATCACATGGTCCCTTCTTTATTGAGATGTTTTGTAAGATTTTGTAACTTGACCACAGTTCTGATATGTTCCACTAAGAGAGTGTTGGTCTTTGTGTTTGGACCAACAGTGGTCTCATTTCTTTTTTTGTTTGTGCTGCAACTATGTATTTCACTCCAGTGTAGAGGTCAGGTGCAGTTGCCCATGTTCTCTGTTGTCAGTTCACAGAAATTAACAGTTCAATTACTCAAATTGCTTGTTTTATTAAAACATCTGTCCAAATCCCAAAGATATGTGACCACGGACAGCAGGGAATCAACCTTCAGCAAAGCAATCTTGTTTTAAAAAAATGTATCTAACTGTGTCTTAATAAGATATTACAGCTAATATTGAGCTTGATTTAACCGGCAATGAGGAAGTTCCCACAATGGTTTGCAGACTATCCCAGTAGAGGAACAAGATTATTTTACCTATTTTAAGAGACTTGCACAACAACTTAAGTCGTCTTGTCCAAGTGAAATGAAGCTGTTTAGTTTTCCACTGTTTTAATGAAAAGTGCTAAAAATAAGAATGCTTCTGGTGCCTTCATTTAAGACAAAGTCACTTATTTTTATTAT